TTGTTGCAAATACACAACTGTTGAGAAAACGTTCTTGGCTTGTTTGCTTGATTTACGAGTAAGTATACGTTTCCTTACATATTTGTCAACGAATTAACCACTTATCTAGCTAGCGACCTACAATCCATGAGAACTCGCAGTCATCCTCTTGAACAGCTGCGCTTCCGTTTCTACCCAGTAATGTAACACTTGACCGTTCATTCATAGCCGGGTCTCATTCAGGTACCTTCGTTTGCAAGCGTACTAATGCAAAACTTAATTCTACATCCATGGATTTCTACTGGTGTTGACAGTATCCATCTCAAGACGCATCCATCTCTAGTGAAAGATTTGACTGGTCACCGATTTACGGGGCTGTTCACATGTAACCAGTGCCTAAACAGGAAGTGTTTGAAACGACCCACAATCAGCAACTCATGATACTCTTGGTTTCCTCGGCAAAGAGGAAACCGCCTCAGTGCGCAACAGTGATGCTTTGCTGCCATACAACCGTCGTTTATTTACAGGGCTTATTGTGTAGAAAAGGATAGCGATGGGTTGGAAAAGGACTTAGTGCTAGCTTACCATGATCATTCCGAAATAAATACACCTCCAGGCAGCCAGGCAACCTGGATAGAAACTGACAATAAAAACGGCATTAACATCGATTGTCAGCCATATATTGCAGCGTCTACGACCATTGCAGTGAGGAGCACGCGGTCCCCATCCTGGAAGGCGAGTAGCACCCAAACGTTTCGTAATATCCTTCATACCTTTCTGCCAGGGCAAGGGCTGGCCACCTCTCCGCTTCCACCAGAGAGAACTAATACAACTTCCAAGATACGTAAAACACTCCACAACTTCGAGCGCCTATCTTTGAATTGTAAGCGGCGTGCTCAGTAACTGCATGTCCATGAGTATGACCTTACATTTTGTGGGTGCAAAGTGCATACCAAAGGACGGGATGACTTCGGCCAGTTCGTCCAAAAACACTTGAGTCTCCACTTCGAGGACGAGGACGATGTCTTCTGCGTATTCTAGATCGATCGTCATCGGCTTTCTGAACACCAGGGTTTCGGAGACCTCCCGGATTTCGTCTCATTATTTCATTGATCACGAAATTAAATGAAAATGGAGAGAGCGGGCATCATTGACAAACGCTGCTTTGTGTACGGAAGCTTTTGGAGAGCTTTCCGTTTACTATCATGTCCGGAAGTCTGAGAATATAAAGAATATATTGTGTTCAAAAACTTCCGGGGCATTCATTGATGGGCACGCGTGACAAAGAGAATGGAGCGTTCAACCGAGTCGAATGCGACTTGGAAACTAAGGAATACCAAATTTTTAGCTCGTTTGTCCATATAGCGGTGTCCTAGCAACTGACAGATTGTGAAAATTCGGTCAATACGGGTGACGCCAGCAGTCTCGTTACGACGGAGATCAAGCTGATCCCTCTGTGATTACCGCACTCACTACGAGCCCCGTTTTTGAAAGTGGGCACTATCATTGACTGTCCCGACTTGTCTGGGACAGTCTCCTTTTCTCGAATGCATGCTAACAGATCAGTCAAGCGCTAATTGAGGAATTTACACCATTTTTAACAGTGCGGGTGGGAGCTCATCCTGACCGGAAGCTCCATGACGCTTGAGACAACCTCTAATACCTGCGGGATCAAAATGATCCCAGAGCATTCGCTCACAAATATCTAGTACTCAGGCTATATAGCTGTTATTGGATACGACGCCATCTTAATGCAGCTGATATCAAATAAGCTAAATGACTCTGCCCCAGGGTTTGGGACACGCTTTACATCTGCAGGGTGTAGAGTGCTGCTGCGCGTGGGCTTCATCTCGAACTTCATGCTTAGCCGATTGAGGTGGTGAACAATTTAACATACCTGGGCAGCTGTATCAGTCTTGGTGTCCTAGCGAAAGACGATATTTCCATCCGGGTTAGGAAGGCTATGCCGGTTTTCATGAACCTGCGTCGCTCGTGGTGCAGACGTGTCATCAGCTTACCTGTCGAGTTCACAATGCTGTGGTGCGGTTCTTGCCGCTTCATGTGAAAGACGTTAAAAAAACTTTCAAAGTTCGACTATCGATTCTTTTGGAGTATTGTCCGACTGTTGGGAACACTGGACAAATAACACTAAAGTACATCGAATGGTATTCTGAAGAACTAACTCGCTCACGATACATGAAATGATCGCACTTCATAGTTTGTGCTGTTTTGGTCGCGTGCCCCGTATGCCAATCGAAAGGGTCCCTCGAAGAGGCATTCCCGCACAACTACGCGAAGGGTGAAAACGAGCCAAGAGAAGTCAAGTAATGACTTAGCGAATTTTTAAAGCCATTACCAGCAAACTCAGTTGCGGTGGCCATCGTTTTCTCCACCGCCAGAGGCGGTCAAACGATGACTTGGCAGCGAAGTGTGAAAGCCGTTATCAGCAAACTGAGCTGCGCTGGTAATTGCCGTCTTCCTGGGTGGGGACCTCGAGACGGGCCACATCAATGGCTGGAGACAGTCCGACATAACCCAGTCGCGCCCTCAATGGCGCTAGTGCATCAAAGCTATTGCCTTCAATGCATAGCTCCTTTTCCACCCCCACTTGACAGCCCACTGACAGTGCTGGGTTTATGCACCAACTTACCAGCTCGCGCCTGCAATGCGCAGCTACCTACCCCCTCCCCCAAATCATCGGTGAACGAAACTGCGGCAGCTGCAACCAATGTACAACGAGTAACCGGTTATTACAGCTGACAATGATGATGATGATACTTAAATATTTAGGAGTGAGTCATCCATGATCAGATCAAGAACGAAGTTGGAGAGAAAAAGTGGACGAGGACAGTCTTGTATGATACTACCGATGACCCTCCTCAACCCCACCACCGAGCGTAAACCTGCAGCCCTGGCCTTTGAGATCCATGTGGAGACCTAATACCATATTACAATCGCAGGCAATGCACCTATCGATAAGTAAAGTACGTCATGGCCATCAATTGATTAAAGAGCTTACTCAGACTGTAAAAAAGATCACATCCTGTAACATAGCCATGTTCAGCTGTAAAACATTTCCAGTGCTATGCCACCCGAAGGAAGCACGAGGGCTGGGATACTGCCCATTTGCACGAGCCTAGACGGGGAAACTCGAGATGCAGAGGTTAGGTTCGAACCACGGAACTTCCGGTCGGTAAATTCGCGGTCCAACCACTGAGCTATCTCGCCACCCCCCTTTTCAAGGTTTCCACATACCACGTTGTATAAACTTTATGATTTCCTAAGCGAATAAAACAACTTCAACACGTCAAGCAAACCAATCGCTGTCATCACCAGTGGCAACTCATTTGGCGCAAGACAGTAAGAGGAGTAGTGTGCCACTCCCACCTGTTATTGGAATATTTAAGTATGATTTGGTAGGACGACCAGGTTTACGGAAGGCGTGACACAGCTAACCACAAACGTCTGGTTGAGTAAAACTGAGGGAATTCGAGTCATTAGGCAGTCGGAATAAATGTGCGAAACTTCCTAGTGGGTGAGCAGTATCTCGCCTCGGTCTAAAGAGACAGATCTAGCCAAGAAAAGTTAGTTTCTCATATTCATTGCACGTTGGGGACCTCGAGACGGGCCACATCAATGGCTGGAGACAGTCCGACATAACCCAGTCGCGCCCTCAATGGCGCTAGTGCATCAAAGCTATTGCCTTCAATGCATAGCTCCTTTTCCACCCCCACTTGACAGCCCACTGACAGTGCTGGGTTTATGCACCAACTTACCAGCTCGCGCCTGCAATGCGCAGCTACCTACCCCCTCCCCCAAATCATCGGTGAACGAAACTGCGGCAGCTGCAACCAATGTACAACGAGTAACCGGTTATTACAGCTGACAATGATGATGATGATACTTAAATATTTAGGAGTGAGTCATCCATGATCAGATCAAGAACGAAGTTGGAGAGAAAAAGTGGACGAGGACAGTCTTGTATGATACTACCGATGACCCTCCTCAACCCCACCACCGAGCGTAAACCTGCAGCCCTGGCCTTTGAGATCCATGTGGAGACCTAATACCATATTACAATCGCAGGCAATGCACCTATCGATAAGTAAAGTACGTCATGGCCATCAATTGATTAAAGAGCTTACTCAGACTGTAAAAAAGATCACATCCTGTAACATAGCCATGTTCAGCTGTAAAACATTTCCAGTGCTATGCCACCCGAAGGAAGCACGAGGGCTGGGATACTGCCCATTTGCACGAGCCTAGACGGGGAAACTCGAGATGCAGAGGTTAGGTTCGAACCACGGAACTTCCGGTCGGTAAATTCGCGGTCCAACCACTGAGCTATCTACCCCCCCCCCTTTTCAAGGTTTCCACATACCACGTTGTATAAACTTTATGATTTCCTAAGCGAATAAAACAACTTCAACACGTCAAGCAAACCAATCGCTGTCATCACCAGTGGCAACTCATTTGGCGCAAGACAGTAAGAGGAGTAGTGTGCCACTCCCACCTGTTATTGGAATATTTAAGTATGATTTGGTAGGACGACCAGGTTTACGGAAGGCGTGACACAGCTAACCACAAACGTCTGGTTGAGTAAAACTGAGGGAATTCGAGTCATTAGGCAGTCGGAATAAATGTGCGAAACTTCCTAGTGGGTGAGCAGTATCTCGCCTCGGTCTAAAGAGACAGATCTAGCCAAGAAAAGTTAGTTTCTCATATTCATTTGCACGTTTTGTCAGTCTCCAAAATGACTCATTTTTTTAGTTAACGATGGAATAGGATTAGATTGGACATGATGAGAAATCCAGCCAGCAAATGAGAAAATTCTGAGTGCTGCGCAGAAAAGTAAGATGACTTTTGGACATTGTCTACACGAGCTTACGAATGTGAGTTTCACCTGGTCTTTGTCTCCGGGGTTCCGAACTAACCTGTGTACAGGAAACATCTGACGCACACAGACCCAAACATAGGTTATTCAAATCCACGATCAAGACATTAACGCCTGGTCGACTCACCTGGAGGATATGTAAGAAACATTTGCTGTCCCAGGAACCATCTCTTTGGCACTACCGAAGTCACAGACTTTTAGAACAAGTGTAGACTCATCAACCAGTAGGTTGGAGGATTTGATATCCCGATGGCATATTTGGTGACTATGAAGATAGGCGAGGGCTTTAAGCATTTGATATGTGAACACCTTTACCACATGCGAAGGGATCTTCACATTGCGTTGGAGATGTCGGTAAATAAGTTCGCACAAACTTTCTGGAAAGCACTCAAGTACCAGGTGAAGGTAAACATCCACGCCCGACGAACTGGAGCCGCTACGCCCACTCGAGCTTCGGTGAGTCCTACTGCTCGAGGAGCTGGTGGAATAATAATAGTAATAAAACTTCACAACGTTAGGATGGTTGTTTAATCGTTGCATAATGCTCAACTCTCGGTTTTTATAGCGCGGATCCTGCAGAACGCGTTTGACCGCGACTTTCAACGGGGATTGTTCCCCAGGTCTTTGGAGCTTCAAACCTGAACCTTGTTCAGCTGATGGTTCGTTGTGAACAGTGAGTGTAGCTTGTTCGATTTGACCAAAGGTTCCTTGCCCTATTGTCCCAATGAAACTCAGGTGGATTGGGACATACAGATTGTCCTGTGCGCCGCGTGCTTGAACCATCATACGACGAGGGATGGAGAGGCCACTGCTGATAAGACTCATTAACGAGTTGTTTCCACCACGTGTGTTGTTCACTTGATTCAATAAACCGTGTGCGCCTGGAAGGGCTGCTGCTTGTCCAGTCACAACAGCAGCCGGAGGTAGAATAGCATGTGTAGTACCGGAGGGAGCTGGAGCATGTCTGGAGGCTAAACTCATCATATGAATCCAGAAGAAAAGTAAAAATCCACAGGAGGATGCAGATCCAATCAATTAACTCGGACGGAATGGCGAGCTTAGTATTGAAAAACTCCGTTAAAAATTGTGGGAGCGGAGAACTAAAAAATCCGCGAAAACTGTCCAGAATTCAACAGCCAAATATGCCGCTCAGCCATATATTGCTATCAGCGTAGAAAAACAAAAGTGTCTCCTGGGCTCCACGCAGTCTTGGCAACTGAAGTAGATCGATGGGTTCTTGAGGATACTGGAAAATTCAATTATATGAGTACCGAAAGTTCCTGGCGCATGAGTTGATTTTGAGAAATGCTGCCGATTTCATCGACCGTAGCTTATCCGGCTAAATTAGTTTTGTTCTACAGTGGAAGGGAAATCTAACGTAGAAAAGTAATTATGTACTCAAAACAAAAGGTCCATACACTCCTCCAGTTGAACTCTTTTTCAACTTAAACTGTTTGTAACTGCCGACCAGCCGCCCCATACCCAAAGGAAAAACCGCTCCATTTCAGGTGTCTCAAAGATAGTGTGAAGCAGCTCCACTGAGAAGCGTGTACTACCTGATAAGTGCCAACAATTATTCGCACAATGCAATAGGGAATTGGAGAGCTACGATGTGTCCCTGATGGACTAAAGGAGATAAGCAATTAAGTTCAGAGTACGAGTCCAATCTTTTGAGCACCATCTAGAAATCCCGTGATCCTGATGATGGTAGGAAAACGTCCCACCACGTTTTATCCACCAGAAGTATGACTTCCTCAGTGGACACTAAAATTTGATGAGCTGCGAAAGTAAGAACGTAGATTTGAGCACACACGTGGTGAAATGCAACATTTTGGCGCAAAAGTTTTGTTCCATATGCGAAGGCTTTGCAGCATTGTGCGGCTGAGTTGCCCATCGCGTGAGGGTTTCGCTGACTGTTGTAAGTACACCGTACGACATTGTGTGACCAAAAAAAGCAGCCATGTGAACTGGGCGAATCGTCCTGCTTTCTTCTAAGAATGCAGTCGGGTAGTGAGGAAGAAAATTACACAGATTTACGGCACACACTCCGCATAGTCTTGGCAACTGAAGTAGATCGATGGGTTCTTGAGGATACTGGAAAATTCAATTATATGAGTACCGAAAGTTCCTGGCGCATGAGTTGATTTTGAGAAATGCTGCCGATTTCATCGACCGTAGCTTATCCGGCTAAATTAGTTTTGTTCTACAGTGGAAGGGAAATCTAACGTAGAAAAGTAATTATGTACTCAAAACAAAAGGTCCATACACTCCTCCAGTTGAACTCTTTTTCAACTTAAACTGTTTGTAACTGCCGACCAGCCGCCCCATACCCAAAGGAAAAACCGCTCCATTTCAGGTGTCTCAAAGATAGCGTGAAGCAGCTCCACTGAGAAGCGTGTACTACCTGATAAGTGCCAACAATTATTCGCACAATGCAATAGGGAATTGGAGAGCTACGATGTGTCCCTGATGGACTAAAGGAGATAAGAAATTAAGTTCAGAGTACGAGTCCAATCTTTTGAGCACCATCTAGAAATCCTGTGATCCTGATGATGGTAGGAAAACGTCCCACCACGTTTTATCCACCAGAAGTATGACTTCCTCAGTGGACACTAAAATTTGATGAGCTGCGAAAGTAAGAACGTAGATTTGAGCACACACGTGGTGAAATGCAACATTTTGGCGCAAAAGTTTTGTTCCATATGCGAAGGCTTTGCAGCATTGTGCGGCTGAGTTGCCCATCGCGTGAGGGTTTCGCTGACTGTTGTAAGCACACCGTACGACATTGTGTGACCAAAAAAAGCAGCCATGTGAACTGGGCGAATCGTCCTGCTTTCTTCTAAGAATGCAGTCGGGTAGTGAGGAAGAAAATTACACAGATTTACGGCACACACTCCGCATCCAATATAGGACCAGAGACTTTACTCCCAAGCGATTTCGAATTAGGCCCTGTTTAGGAAACAAAAATGTAAGCCAGCATTCATCAAGGGACACAGCTCACCAAGTAACCACTGTGAAAATAAAGACATCAGCGCGACTACCAGGATGAGATTTTTGGTGCATTATTTAGGAGATCTGGGTCTGATTAAACTTATGCATTGTTTTTGCGTGTTACCAGTGCTTCCAATTGTGTCAACAGTAAAGTTGCTGCCCTCAACACTGATAGTATACTGACGGAGATGACACTTATGGGCAGCCATGTGATGCTTGGATTGAATCGTCTCCGTGAAAAGTCCATGTATGTGCCCTCCAGCTGGTCAGAGCTTCCATTGAGGAAACGCTTTTTGAAGTGTATTGGGAAATGTAAACACAGTTAGAAGAGGGTACGGCGAGTGTTCCGAGGGGGCTGCACACTGGTGTGTATCAGTTGCGGTGAATAAGAGTTGTCAAATTTAGAGACAACACGTTGTTTTAGTCTGGGTGAACCAAAGCATCCCGTTTACCCGCCAATTCGTAAATGCTTCGAGCCTCAAGGCCATCGTGCGAATGCCCGTTATATGCCGCTGGACATCCGTGTTCTTCACCGTGAGCCAAATTTGTCCCTCAGCGAAATCGGCTATTGAGAATCTGGCAACGCCCACTTCGTTATTATTCATTCAAACTGGCTGTAGAAGACAGCTTGCCAACAGTGTGCTCCCGTTTCCTCCAACCCCAAGTGACAGCCAATCCCCATATTTATTCCCCTTGACCAGATGAACTGAAACCTCCTTGTTTTACTGAACTATTTTCATAACTCTTACGGACTTTGATCGGACATTTTGATTTTTGCGGTTGCTCGCCGTCGATATCTGTTTGGTTGTGGCGATATCGATTTTGAGGCGAAGTGATCTGCGCTTTAGCCTCAGGCTGGTAATTGCACCGCCTTATTTTGTAACCTTACGGTATCTGCAGAGGAGAATCCGTTGAGGTTTGTTGAATATGTATATTATTATATTTGCAATAGTACCGTGATTCCAGAATTCGGATTTCTTGGTCGTTTTCCTGGATTGGCACGCGTGACTCAAACTCAGAAAGCAGATAGCCGTAACACTGGCTGGTCCCCGGTCCACACTCACACTGTCCTCCAACGAAAGAGAAAGTATCCGTGACCCCGCATCCGCCTGACCCTCTGGTCAATCTCCTTGTTTAACCCAGATCCAGCTGCAACGGAACTGCGTATCCATTCTCCGATCACGGTACGCTTGACGACCGTTACGGGGCTGTCCTCAAACCGAATCATGTCAGTGCAATGATGGCATGGCTTTGTCATACCCAGTGTGATGGCACCCCCACAACCACTTTCTTCAGAATGTCGACCGCAGACTCCCCGCACACCCGAGCCTGTGGTCGAAACTACGAGCAAATTTTTCATCCGGCCACAACCGTCTCTGGGACGAGATCTTTCGTACTCGATAAATTTTCGCTCAAATTTAGCTAGCCTGGCTTTTCGCTGCAATTTCAGTTCCCATCTTTCGCAAGTTCAAATCCATATACGGTGTTCCGTTGGCCCTATACTTTGGCATCATGTCCCCATCCAGCCTATCCCCTGCACCTGGCTTCCCCACAACAGCGCAACCAATGAATCTGCTTAGTTTCAGATTAAACCACATTTTCGAGACAAAACTCGCCATGTGCTCCCAATCCAAATTATTCTATTGTAACGCAGTTGAAACTCGACTGTATCTGCATGCACGCCTATCACACGAGCTTATGCTTGCCTCTACCTTTCTCTCTCCCCCTGTTGCAGGTACCATGGCCGAGTCACCAGGAGCCCTGGACAGGATAGAGTAGCCGCTTGTACACAGCCCCGACTGACCTTGAGCTAAGTTTGTACCCCTGACTTCCGGTTTTGGTTTCGGTTAAATACACGTGTGTTGTTGCGACGTTCCGGTCTTCCTTCTTGTGCCACACGACCTGTGCGAATGTGTGCTGTGTGTGCCGTGTGGATTCAGTAATACCAAACTCTATATCCGCACATTTCAGAACCGACATGTGCCGTCGCTACATCCTCTCGAACGCCGAATACCACTGACTTCCTGACGTCCCACGCTACACCACCCCTATTTCAACTTTTGCTTTGTGACTCCAGCCATTTACCCAACCGCCCAAGGTCAGCAATGGCCAGCGATGGTTTTTCAGTTTCAGTTCATGTCAGCCGGCTGTATTTGAGCTAGTCGGACTTCATGCCCTTTGCATCCTACAAGTTGGGAGAGAAACATTGTCCTTTCTTTTCCCACCCGTGCTACGCGCGGATCTCCCAGTCATGCTTCAGTCTGTAAACGTATGATCATTTCAGACGTTATGCCACCCAAAAGTTTGGAACAACCATACTATTATTATTATTAGCGTGTATTTCTGGGTTTTATCCTTTGGGACTTCCCTAAATCTACCAATTTCATCCGGCGATGACTAGGGAAAGAAAGGTTCGTTGTTTGCCTTTAATCTAATATTGATTAAATGGACCGACTTTTTGTGGTGTTTTGACAACAGCGACTGATTTCCCTCCAAAACATAGTTGAGCAGGTATGAATGAGTTCAGTGGGAAGATAATCGACAATGGGCTGCTTTAGTTTGTTGGTCTTGAATTAGCTGGAACCCCTTCTATAAAGTACGCAGTGTGCGAAGCAAACCTCAAAAACGTCGCCGAGCAACGCAGATGCAACCCATGCGGTTAAGAAAATTGTGTATTTTGGACTGCTTCGACAAACTGGATGCCCAGCAGGGACATACATTGTGTATTTTGGACTGCTTCGACAAACTGCCCAGCAGGGACGTACTTTTCACTTTTCACTGGGTGACCAGGAGGGCAACCGAAGTTCCTGTAGGTTATTCATTCCAACACGGGATCCGGAGTGGTTGTTGGATCTATGAAGAAGGAAAACGCGCTATGAATACATAATTAATCCCTCTGAAAGTCCCGAGGATAACACAGGGAACCTGGTTTTATTTTGATTAGAGTTAACACTCACATGCATTCCGTGGTAAGGACATCGATGGGCGGCTTCCAAAAACGGTGCGTAGATCTGTTGGTGGAAAAATGAAATTTTTCTCAGATTATCTAAATGAGACGCAACTCTTGCAGCCAATGATAGTATCTTGCATCGCTATCCGAAGGTCCTGCATAGATGCCAAGCAGGATCTAACTAACAATG